CGGGAGTGGGATGTGGGACTGAGGACGGAGCCCGGAAGTGGGATGTGGGACTAAGGACGGAGCCCGGAAGTGGGATGTGGGACTGAGGACGGAGCAGGAGCCTGTTATCAGAGGGACACAGAATGGCCCGTGGAGTTGAGTGACTCCATCAGCTCTCCAGGGCCTTCCAGGTCCGTGGGAAACGCCGTTGCACACACTCAATGTAAAGAATGGGTGAGGGGAGATGGTTGGGCTAACCGTAAGCCAGAGGACATGTGGCAGATGTGACCCATAAGGTAAGAGGAAGTGTAAGGGCAGAGGGATGTGCCTGGCACCTCAGAGAATGAGTGCCAGGGCACCAGACACAATGGCCCCGTGCACGCAGGAAGAAGAGTGTGGGAATCACCGGGTTGAGGTGAAGGTTAGTGGTTCTAGCTAACCCACAAGGGTTGTCACATGTCCATACTGTACCACAAACCCAAGTCGTAAATTATCTTTTGACACAGTCGCTGTAGACAAAATGTTATGTTGCTTGGAAGAGAAAAGAGGTGTACGGGACCATTGGCTATTTGGTCCAATGTATAGGTTCATGTGTCAATTTCTACACACTGGGAGGAAAGTCCAGCTGTACTTCCTTGGGAGATGCAGCTAGCTCCCATCCCTTCTTCAGGAGTAACAGGAGAAAAAATGATGAGAAACTGATGAATCATCCCTTTTGATTTCTTTCAAACTACAGAGTTAACAACAGGTGGAACAAACCAACGACAACACAACACAGCAACACCAACCCCAGGCTACTCGGCTGCAAAATCTGCTGTGTATGGATCTACAACATCGTCAAGCCCCACAAATTCAGCACACACAACGGTGTCCGCTGGGAGCATCCAAACGATAGAAACAGACATAACCAAATCAGCAAATGGTTCAGCAGAGGCATCCAGGACCACTGAAGACTCTCAGACGACAGTCCTTGGAAAGGGGACCACAACTGAACTAGGAAACACAAGTTCAACACCCACACCAGAGACCACCAGAAACTTCCAGAGTACAGACCCAGATGAAGGATCAACACCTAACCAAAGCACCCCAAGATCAACAGCCACATCAAAGACGGTAGAAACCTCTTCAAAACCGGTCCTACCAACCCATACAACTCCAAATGCTGAAATTTCTGAGTCAACTGTGCTCACTACAGAAGCTGAAACCTTCCAAGGAAGCTCAATTTCAAGAGATACAGCTGTACCTTCTGAGACCCCCCACGCCACAGGCTTGACTAAGGAATCTACAGCATTCCCAAGCAGCCCAAATTCAAAACATTCAACCCAAGTTACTGAGTTCTCCCAAACAGCAGTCTTCACTCAGGAGTCCACAGCCTTCCCCAGCAGCTCAATTTCCAGAGAAACTGCTGTACCTGCTGACACCTCCTATATCCCAGCTCTGACTGAGGAGTCTACAACCTCCCCAAGTAGCCTTAGTTCAACACAAGCAACTCATGGAACTGAGAAATCTCCAACAGTCTTCACTCAGGGATCTACACTCTTCACACCCCCCTCAACTTCATCAGAAACATCTGTACCCCCTGAGAGCCACCACACTACAGTTTCAACTGAGTCACCCTCAGCCTCCCAAAGCAGCCCAGTTGTGACAGAAGCCACTCAATCTCCTGAGTCTTCTCTAACAACAGTCATCACCGAGGAATCTACAACCTTCCCAGCCAGCTCAGTTTCATCAGAAACTGCTGTACTTCCTGATGTCACCCACACTTCTTTCCTGACTGAGGCATCTACAGCCTCCCAAAGCAGCCCAGTCATAACACAAGGAATAACCAAGACCACAAAAACAATCTTCACTCACGAATCTACTGCCTTTCAAAGCATCCCAATCTCAACACATGCAACTCAGGCAACAGAAACCTCACAAACAATATTTACACAGGAGTCTACAACCTTCCCAAGCAGCTCAGGATCCACAGAAACTGCTGTCCCTCCTGACACAGTACCCACTACAGGACAGACTGAAGCAAACCCAACCTCCCAGAGCGGCTTGATTTCAACACAAGCAACTCAAGCAACAGAGACATCCCAAAAAACAGCCTTCACTCAGGAATCTACACCCTTCCCAAGAAGCTCAATTTCCTCCCAAGCTGCTGTCCCTCCTGAGATCATCGACACCACATCCCAATCTGAGGCATCTACAACTTCCCCAGGCAGCCTGATTACCACACAAGATACTCAAGGTACTGAGACATCCCCAGTAGTCTTCACTCAGAAATCTACAGCCATTGCATCCAGCTCAGTTTCCCCAGAAACATCTGTCCCTCCTGAGGTCTCGCACACCTCAGCCCTGACTGAGGCATCTACATCATCATCAGGCAGCCTGCTTTCCACACATGCAACTCAACCAACTGAAATCTCCAAAACAGCCACCACCCAGGAATCTACAACTTTCCCCAGCAGCTCGGTGTCCCCTGAAACAGTTGTTCCTCCTGACACCTCACTCTCCACAGCCCTGACTGAGGCATCTACAACCTCTCCAAGGAGCCCAGTTTTGAAACCTGTAACTCAAGCAACTGAGACCTCCCAAACAACAGTCTTCACTGAGGAATCTACAGGCTTCCTGAGCAGCTCGGTTTCCACAGGAACAGCTGTACCTCCTGAGATCACCCACACCTCAGCCCTGACTGAGTCTTTTACAATCTCCCCAAAAAGCCCAATGTCCACAGATTCATCTCAACCATCTCATACCTTACAAACAACTGTCTTCACTCAGGAACTTACAACCTCTCCAAGCAGCTCAGTTTCCCCAGAAACAGCCCTACCTCCTGAGACATTCTTCACCTCAGCCCTGACTGAAGCGTCTACAACCTCCCCAAGCCACCCAATTTCAACAGATGGAGCTCAGACCACTGAGACCTCCCCAATGACAACCTTCACCCAGGAGTCTACAACCTTCCCAGGCAGCTCAATGTCCACAGAAACTGTTGCATCTCCTGTGACCTCCTCTAGCTCTTCCCTGACTGAGACACCAACAACTTCCCAAAGCAACCCATTTTCAACACATGCAACTCAACCCACTGAGTTATCAGTAATAACAAAACTCACCCAGGAATCCAGGACTTCCCCAAGCAGCTCAGTTTCAACCCATGCAACGAAAACAACAAAAACATTGAAAACATTGTTTACTAAGGAGTCTACAACCTTTCCAAGCAGCTCAAGTTCCACAGAAACTACTGTACCTCCTGAGAACACCCACACTAATGAAGAATCTACAGCCTCAATAAGCAGCGTCATCTCCACACATGCAACTCAACCAACTGATACCTCCCATACAACAGTCTTGTCTGAGGAATCTATAACCTTACCAACTAGCTCAATTTCCACAGAATCTGTTGTACCACCTGATGCCAATCACACCTCCGCCCGAACTGAGGCATCAACAACTTCCCCAAGCAACCCGATTTTGACAAATGCAACTCAACCAACTGAGACATCACCAATAACAATCTTCACCCAGGAAATTACAACTTCCACAACCAGTTCAATTTCTGAAGAAACAGCTCTAACTCCTGAGACCTCAACAATGATTGAAGATTCTACAATTTTCCCAAGTAGCCCAATTTCTACACAAGCAAATCAAGCAACTGAGACAATCCAAACAACAGCCTTCACTCAGGATTCAACAATCATCACATCCCCCTCAATCACAACAGAAAGTGTTGTACGAACTGAGAGCTCCCATACCACAAACAAAATTGAGGCATCTACAAACTCCCCGAGCAGCCCAATTCCAGCACATGGATCTCAACCTACAGAATCATTCCCAATAACGATAACTCCAGAAACCACAACCTTCTCTAGCAGCCCAATGTTGACAGAAACCACTGGGCCTCCTCAGATCACTCACACCACAGTCCACACTGAGGCATCTACAGC